GTCTCAAAAAAAAAAAAAAAAAAAAAAAAAAAAAAAAAAAAAAAAAAAAGAACGTAGAGTGGTGTGTTGGAGGTCAGGAGATGGCAGAAAAATGTCAAATCATGACATTCTTAGAAGTTCAGGCTTTTAACCTTGGCATCAAGAATTTAACATTAGTAGCTGCAACTATTAAATAAGCAAACCAAAGGTTTGTAACATGTAATATTTAAAAACGTGTGTCCGTATCTTTTCCACAGGGTTGTTGAAGAATTTTAGTGAGATATTACATGTGAAGGAATGTATTCTTTTTTTTTTTTTATCACAAGTTAAATTTTGGCACGATGTGTTCGAGGGAGTCAGAAACAAGTTAAAATATTCTACGCATGCACAAGTATGTATTTGTGAAATATATAAACATTTAAAATATGAACACTAAACACATTGTTTAGCACCTTGTTTTGTTTCTAGTTAATAGATCTTGGAGTTCTCCATCAACTTCTTTTGACAGCTCAATGCCTTTTCACCGAACAGAATGCTAAACTTCCTTTAATCACTTTTTTCTTGGGTGACATATTTTTGATTTCAAGTATTTTGTTGTTACAAACATTTCATTCAATGACTATCCTTATATTTATGTCTTTGGATACGTGTACAGATAGCTATAGAATAAATTCTTAGAAGTAGAATTGCTAGACAAAAGGGCTTATGTATTTTAAATTTTGATAGTTCAAACATTGCTTTCAAATAGTTTGTACAATAGATTGTTGATAGGAGAATATATTGGTATAGGCTTTCTCTGTACTGCCTGCTCTTGTCCTTTGCCCATATTTTTCTGTTATTTGTCATTTTCACATAGATTTTTAAGAGTTCTTTAAATATTACAGTAATAAGCCATTTGTCATATGCATTTTTAATTGTTTTTCTTATGGTTTTTTATGTTTTTTTCTTCTGATTTTGTTTCTGGTCGCTTATTCTGCAAAACATTTAATAGAGAATTAAATTTATCAAACTTTTCATTTATAGCTCTAGAACATTATGTCTTGCTTTAAAAGGTCACTCTCTCAATAACATGTAAAAATTATCTTACATTTCCTTCTAGTATACTTCCATCTTTTCATGTTACATTTTTGATCTTCTGGGGTTTATTCATTTTCATAACAATTTTATTGAAAGATAATCACATAACATATCATTTGCCCATTTAAAGAGTGTGATTCAATGGATTTCAGTATATTCACAGGATTGTGCAACCATTTTGGGGGGATTTATTTTGGTGTAAGGTATGAGAAAAAGATCCAATTAACATTTTTTCAAGTAGCTCATTAGTTTTCTATCATTTTCACGGATGTTTTTTTCTTTGACTTAAAAAATGTTGATTACTTCTGATATATTCATTTACTTCTAAGTGACCTCCAAGATTAGCACTATTATTTCCATTTTCCAAATGAGGGGACTAGGACTCAAGATTGTTACGTTAAATCACATTGCTTATCAACCAAAAGAAAGAATTCCAACAAGAAGATCTTCTCTGTCTTTAATTCTCTAATTCCTTCAACAAGATCTACTGAGAGTCTATAACATGCTAGTCCTTAAGCTCAACATTAGAGTACAGAGAATAAAGCCATGGGCACTGTCAATCAGAAGATCTAGAATGGGGACACGACAGACAAGGAGAAAGCCACATGCAAGACACAGGAAAAGGTCTAGAAAGAAAGCTTTTTGCATCTAACATCAGTCTCCCCAGATTCAACCCATCTCAATATTGAAGCAATTGTCATCCTATTTCCAAATAAAGTTAAATGAGGTTTTTAATGTGAAGTGCTTAGGATGGAGTGTGGCACACAGTAAGGGCCATCTTTAAATATTACCTGTAGGTATACTGATAAATACATGGCTATATCAAGGGAGAGGTTGGCCTTTTAACTTGAGGAGTCAGAAAGAAACTGCCATGTGCATTTTGCTTTGATTGTGAAAATCTGGATGCACAGAAGCTCTATAGAAACAGAGCAGAAACTTCAAGAGCTATTCTGCCCAGCATGCTGACAGGGGCTGACAGAGTGCTCACACCAAAGGCTCCATTGGCGTTGAGTGGGGAGTGCACACTAGAAGTGGGTTTTCTTGTCATGGAGTTGAATTTTTTTTTAAGTAGTTCATCTTCTTTCTAGTGAAAAAATAAACAAGGAGAGGGGAAAATGTTTGGAGGATGAAGCTTTAAAAATAACAACTCATAGCCAAAATAGAGAAATGTTCCTTTCTCAGTATAAAGTCTCTGTTTACTTAACAGATTGCACACCGGCAGGGGAGGAAGTCTTAGTGTGGGAGGGAGCCTGTGTTCACCTGCTGTGAGCAAAAGTTCAGTTCAGAAACTGAAAAAGTGGAGACTTAACAGTTCTTCTTTCTTCTTGTCCCTTTTCAATTGTCTCCCATAGTTTCCCATGAAGAGCTCATTCTTAACTCTTCCAGCAGGAGTGTGTTTTTCTCAGCCTCTTCTCACTTGATATCCTGTTATTCTTAACCAGCAATTATTACCCATCGACAATATAATCAATATAATGCTTCCTCTATGGCATAAATTAGGAGCTATAGACTGTGCCCTCAGGGATGGTATATACCCCAAACTCTCAATTCAGTTCTCGTGTGTGTGTGTGTGTGTGTGTGTGTGTGTGTGAGAGAGAGAGAGAGAGAGAGAGAGAGAGAGCATGTATATGTTCCTTTAGAAGATGTGGAGGGGCATATGTTGACTATTAATCATAAACATATTATGAAAGGAAGACCCCAGAGCCCAGCTTCCATGCAAACATATGTGCTTCGTGTTTTGATGGCGTACTTCTGAACTTTGAGGACTTCTGGGGGGATATTCAATACAGTGAAGCTGCACTCTTCTAAGCAGTGCTGTTTAGAGGCAAGAAGAAACTTATGCTGCTATCTTCTTAAGAATAAAATCACCTTGTTTTTCAATGGGAGCAACTCGGTTGAAGCACTTCTGCTAATCAACTATTTGTATAATAAATAAAACTTACGTAGTTTAATGACTCTGATTATAGTTTTGCTAAAGTATGCAAATATTGCCTGAATCTCAATGACTGGCTGATTATGTGGTACCTGTGGATCTCTCACTAGAATTATTACAAGATGAAAAGGCTTGCCACATGAGCTAGTGAAAAGTGATTTGTCAACCCACAATCCAGCACAAATCTATGTGTACTTTGAAGATGAGATAGATATTTGTCACCTGCCTGAGGCAAAGAAAGTCTTCAGTGTCTACTGGGGTCATTATGCACTGTAGTCGGGGCTTCATTTTCAAAGTCTAGCCTTAATATTCTACACTAACTTCAAGGGACAAATCAGACTAGAGCATTTAGCTCAATTTCAGTGGGGATGGATGGATCAATGGGATCAGAAATGGGGTTATTACTAAGAATCTGGAGGTAACATGATTAATCTAAATCTATAAGGTGTTCCTGAGGCTGAGAAGCACACCGGGTAAGGAAAAAACAAGATTTATTTTTAAAGAAGTACACAGTTCCAGTCATAGATCAGGAGTAGTTTATCAAGCAGACCAGCCTATGACTCCTACTGTGAGACGTGACAGCCTGCAGTGATGAACTCCTCCATGGATTATGTCAGTCTGGTTTTCAGAGCACCTCAAAATCCCCTTGTGGAGAGCCGTGTTCTACTACTTATCCTCTTCAAATGTGGTCCATTTGCACTTAAGTAACGGGGGAAAGAACCGGACTTGACAGAGCATTTGCTCATGGCATGTTCTGGAAGTTTCTTCTCTATAAAAATAAAAGCCTGTTTTTCAGAAGCCCTAAGGCATCTCTTCCTCCACATGGAAAATAAAGAGCTCTAATAAGGGTGTGCAGACTAAACATTCACTTGTATACTTTCAAAAATATGCCTTACAAAATGTAAAGTTACCCATTAGCATTTTTTGTATAAAAGGAAACTGATAAATGGAAACTGAGAAAACCCAGGGGATCAACATAAGACATTTAATTTAGCTGTCCTAAAGAAAAATACAATATGGTTTTAAAAAGTTAACAAATTAAGATGCTGTTCAAAATCAATAGTGGCAAGATTAGATGCATTTAAAGAGCTTCTTCATCTTCAATGCTACAAAATCTCTCAGCATGTG